TGAAGCCTCATAGGCAGATGTGATCACCCCTGAGTTCTCAAGTCCCTTTTGGCTCTCCTATGATCCTACATTTGACCAGAACTGGAAGTAAGCTGGTCTTGTCTAAACCATTGGAAAACGGTTGTCTAAACCATTTAGAAAACCAGTGGAAATAGCACTGAACTTGGAATCCAAAATACTTACTACATGGCAGAGCTTGGGCAAGTCAATCTCTGAGGCTTAATTTCCTCCCCTATAAAACAGAAGGAATAAAATACACTGGAGTCTTCCTCCTTCACTGAGGTTTCCTCCAAGGCTAGTCGGTCAGTCAACAAACATTTATTTAGTGCCTACTATGTGCCAGACATATGTACTAAGCACTAGAGATTTTAAAAAGGCAAAAACAAGAAACAAAATCAGTTTCTTTTCTCAAGGAGCTCACTATCTAAATGGAGAGATAACATAGAGATATTTGCAGCATAAATTGGAGATACCCAATAGAGGATAGGCACTAGAGTTAAAGGGGGAATCTAGAAAGGCTTCTTCTAGAAAGTGCATTGTCAGCTGAGACTTGAAGGAAGCCAAGAGGCAGACATGGAGGACAGCCAGTGAAATACATAGAGTCGAGAGATGGAGTGCCTTGCTCATGGAAGAGCAAGGAGGCCAGTGTCACTGGATCAAAGATTATGTGAGTGAGAGGCAGGCGTAAGAAGACTAGAGAGGTAAAAAGCGTCCAGATTGTGAAGGGATTTGAATACCAGACAGGGCTTTTTATATTCAAATTGGTGTTCATTGAAGGGGCGGCGATTTGGTCAGACCTGCTCTTTAGGATAGTTTGACGGCTAAGTGGAGGCAGGGAGACCAACCAGCAGGCTCTTATAAGTCTGGATGTGGGGTGAAAAACAACCTGCACCAGAGTGGTCAGAAGAGAGTAAAGGGACATATGTGAGAGATGGTAAAATTGAGAGGACAGATTTGATGTGGAGGGTGAGAGAGAGTGAAGGGTCAAGGATGGTACTCTTAGGCCGTGAGCCTGAGGGACTGGGAAGAGTAATAGGGAAGCTGGGAAGAGGGGAGGATTTAGGGGAAGTGATAATGAGTTCAGTTTGGGTCATGTTGAGATTAAAAATAGATTCCCCTCTCTCTTCCCTATCTTAAAGTTCTAATCAAGTCCCTATTTCTGGTCTGATGGATGCAATAAGCTCTCAACTCCTTAGTAGAGTAGAAATGGCTACTATACTTTGAATCCAAGGACTAAATCCACATTCTGTCATTTATAAGCTCCACCCACTTCCCCAGGTTCTTTTTCATGACTCATCCTCTGGTGCCCTTCCCACCTCTCCCCTCCCTAACCCCAGAAGGGTGACATTTCGTGAGTAAGCTTACTATAGAAAAATACTTTATGAATATATTAATAACAATATACTTTCTATCAACCTATAATAGGAGGTTCTTTTTTCCTGTGGGGATTTACACAAATATTAGGCAATTTCCTCAGAACTAGAACTTTTCCTTAGAGTAAAATGTGTAGAGTTGTTCTTTAATTCAACAGACTTATAAAGCACTATGCCAAGCAATGAAGGAAATACAGTTTAGACAAGACACAGTCCTTGTTCTCATGAAATCTACAGTTTTAGTGGGGAGCCATGACCAGTACGCAGATAAGTTTAAAACAAAATAGTGAGTGACAAGGGCATTTAACATTAACATTTAACATTAAAACGAAGTGGCTGGTAAGGTCCTGGGGGTGGGGAGGAGGAGTCCTTACTGACTTGGAATCAAGGAAAACTTTGTAGAGAAAAACACATTTGAATTATAAACTTTATGGCACTCAAAAGTGGGACAGCACATTTATAAAATTTAAATATTTGGACTTTCAGAGGTCATAGTCATTCCTCAAACAGAAATAAACTAATCTTATAATTTCCCTCAGCTGTGATAAAACCTCATCTTACCTCCAACCCCTGTTTTGGGAAACATCATCTTACAGCACCCTCCCTGAGCTGTAATAATCAGAAGCAGCCCTGGGTATATTTGAGAAGATTAAAGAGGTACAGAGAGCTAATAACTTGATCAGTCCGGGAATCTGAAAATGAGAGGCAAGACCACACCCCAAGAAGCCCCTTAATTTCCAGGCCTCTTTGCCAAGATCTTTCCATGAGAGGAAACTGCCATCAACCCAGTAATTTAGATCCTGGTCATCATTACCTAATCAAGATTAGATTGGTTTAAAAAACATAGTATCAATTGAACTTTTCTTGCTGTGTTGGTGGAGTGGATTTAGGGTGAAGGTAGCATGAATAGGGAAGCAGGAAGGCTTCTTGTATGAATTCCAAAAGCCTGGTTAGAAAAAAACTCTGATCTCTATTTCTTTCTAGGATAGCTGGTTTAGGCCTAATGGCAATTCTTCTTCTTTTATTTTACTTTATTCTGAATTACATGTAAAAATTATTTTTAACATTCATTTTTTAAAATTTTGGGTTCTCAATTCTTTCCCTCCCTCCCCTACCTCCTCCTTCAGAAGGCAAGCAATTTGATATAGATTATGCATGTGCAGTCACGCAAAATATATTTCCATATTAACCATGTTGCAAAACAGGCAAGAAAAAAAAACCCCAAGAAAAAGAAAGTTAAAAAAGCATGCTTTGATCTGTATTCAGACTCCATTAGCTGTTTCTCTGGAAGTGGATAGCATTTTTCATCATAAGTCCTTTCAGAATTGTCTTGAATTGCTGAGAATAGCTAAGTCATTCACAGCCTATCATCATACAATATTGCTGTTACTATGTACAATATTCTGGTTCTGTTCACTTCACTTTGCATCAGTTCATACACATCTTTCCATATTTTTCTGAAATAATCCTGCTCCTCATTTCTTATAGCATAATAGTATTCCCTCACAATCATATATCACAACTTGTTCAGTCATTCCCCAATTGATGGGTGTCCCCTCAATTTCCAATTCTTTGTCACCCCAAAAAGACCTGCTATAAATACTTTTGTCTATATGCAGGTCCTTTTCCTTTTCCTTTGATCTCTTCAGGATACAGACCCAGTAGGGGTACTGCTCGGTCAAAGGGTATGTGCAGTTTTATAGCTCTTTGGGCTGTTCTCCAGGATGGATGGATCAGTTCACAACTCCACCAAGAGTTAGGTCCTTATTCTTCAATGAATCTGTGATCTCCTAGATGTCAGTATTTCACCCCATCTGCTACCCACATCTCACATGGACTGACTCTTTCCCAAGGTCTGCTAGAGGCCACCTACCAGAAGGCCCATCCAAAGTACTGTGTATTTGTGTGACCCTGGGCAAATGAGACCTCCCCAGGGCTTAATGGCAAATCACATTTATACATAAAATTTAAAATTTATACCTCATTTTACATACATAATCTTATTGGATCTTTACACCACGAGGTATTGTACAAATGTGTCGGATTCAACTGCTTCTGAGGTCCCTTTCAGCTATCAAGCTATGTTCCTACACACCACCAGAGAAGGAGGCCTGGGCTGGTCATATCTAAACCGCTATGAGTATTGAGAAGGCACAATGGTAGATCCTCGATAGCACTGGATTTGGAACCCGAAAGACTTACTACTTCTGTGCCTCTGGGAAAGTCACTACCTCTCTGAGCCTCAGTTTCCTTATCTGTACAAGAGGAGAAACAATACTCACATTGCATCCTGGGGTTTTCAGGCTTGAATGAGGCCATCTATGCATAGGAAAGCAGTGTGTCAAAGCCCTAAATTAGTGGAAATGATTACCCTTATCGTCATCATCATTATTCTACATACTTTTAATAAACATCCCAATGGGGAATCAGTACAGACAGAATTGAAGGTGAGAGTTTTTGTTCTGAGGGTGTTCTTTTTTTTTTGTCACAGAGTTCAAATTCTGTAAATGGATAATCCTTGAGCCTGTATTTGTTATAAAATGTGAATTATTATTAAAAATAATAGTTAGAATTTATATAGTGCTTTACAGTTATCAAAACGCTTTACACATATTATCTCACTTGATCTCCCTGGGAGGTAGATCCTGTTATTATCCTCGTTTTACAGAAGGAGAAACTGAGGCAGACAGGGGTTGAGTGACTTGTCCAGAGTCACACTGCTAGTGCGTTGGGGCCGCTTTGAAATCGGGTCAGGCTTGCCCCGCTACTGCGCATAACAACAGCAGCAGCGTGAGCGTGGGGGACCCTTAATCGGTCCCCGGGGGGCTCCCAGCAGGTGCGCGGCTGCCCCCGCCCAGGTACGGCAGCCAGAGCGGCCAGATCCCGGAGACAATGGCCCCCGCCCAACAGCCGGCCCCGGGCCTCCGAGCGCCGGAACCAGCCGACGAGGCCGAGGGACTGGAACGAGCCGCGTACGCCCAAGTCCAAGGCCCTCCTCCCGTCCCTGACGTTGCGCTCCGCTGCGCTCCGGGGAAGGGGTCTAGGAGCGCAGGCCTGAGAGGGGGCGCAGGGGCAACCCCAGTCCCACGTCCCCAGCCCTGCCCCCCCCCCCCAGGAGAACGGGCTTCCCCCGCCCCCGGACTGGGAGTGTGTCTGTGAGTGTGTGCGCGTCTGGCCTTGCTCGCCCTCTCCGGCTCAACGTCAGTGGGAATTTCCAGCCAGGAAGTGAGAGAGTGAACGAGAGAAAGAGAGAGAAGTGCGCCCGCAAGCCGCTAGCAGGAAGGGGAGGTTTCGCCACCCGAGGGCCAGGGGACGCGCTGACAGCTTCCCCCTTTCCCCTTCCCGTCGCTCGGTCCCGCCCGCCCGCAGTCCAGTCGGCCGCCCGAGCTGCTCCGGGGAGAGCGCACGAGCGAGCGAGCGAGCGATCGAGCGAGCGAGCCGGGACTGCGGGGCGCCCGGGGCGGCCGCTGGACAGGGCGCTTGGGCAGCCGCTCCGCTCCGCTCCGCTCCGCTCGCCTCCCCGGCCCGGGCTGCGGGACATGCGCCGTGTTGCCTGCTGCTAGGCGCCGCGGGGCTGAACCACGCGCGCAGACCGCCCGCCCGCTGTGCCCTCTGCGGCCAGCCCGCCCCTGCCGCCCGCCGGAGCCGAGCGGGGAGCCAGGACGAGCTGGGAGGCCCCGGAGAGCAGCTCCCCCAAAGGGTAAGAACGAGGTTGGGGCCAGGGGAGCGGGGAGGCGCTTCCTGCGAGGGAAGGTGCGGACAAGTGCGGCTCTTCACGCTTGCGGATCCCCACCCCGCCATCCCCCGAGTCTAGACTTCCTCATTCCTGGCCGACCCGCCGGAGGAGGTTGACACCAGTTGCGAGGTGCATGGGATTGGTGAGAGAGGAGGAAAAGAGGCAGCCGGGGACCCGGGATGGTGCGCCCAGGGCCATGTGGTTTGGCCAGTTGGATTTTTTTCCCCCAGCCCATTTCACCTCCTCCAACCTTTCGAAACGAGGGAAGAAATCTGGGCATGTTGGATGGCAGCGGCGGGGGAGACTTCATTTTTCTTTTGGGGGGGAGGTTAGAGTTGGGGGGGAAGGGAATGACTAAGGGCGTACGTTTGTGTGCTGGTGTGCGCGAGTATCGTGCGTGCGTGTGTGTGTGTGTGTGTGTGTGTGTGTGTGTGTGTGTGGAGGGGGGAGGTGTTTTGAGTGAAGTGCTGAACCTGGTTTTTATCCAAGGGCGTTTTATGAAATGAAGGCAGAAGAGAAGGCTACCGATTTCTCTTCATTTGAAAACCCTCTAGTTGCCAAGTCTTGTTAGCTATCTGCCATCCCCCAACTTCACCGGGACCTCTGGTTATCTTTCCAGAAAGATTAAGTCTATAGGGGCATTCCGAGACCCCCAAAAAGACATTCTGAAAAAAGGAGGTAGGAGTTCTTAATACGCTCGCTAAATCAAGTACTTAGTCCGATGATTAGTTCATTAGATAAAACGTGGTGGTGCTGGCATATATACAGGGTGTCCCAAAAGTCGGAGTGCAGTTTTAAGTTTTTAATAGCCATAGTTTAAGCTAACACCGCATAGCGGTGGTTTTAAGTTTTTGAAGGTTTAAAACTGATCTCGTAAGTATGACCTTTCTATAGTAAAATTAATTTGCACTCTGGGTTTTCTGTTTCATGTTTGAAATAACCTGGATATCAAATATGGTTGTTTGTTTTTACTGGATATGTGAAGGTTCAGTAGAAACCACCAGTTTAGGGCTTAAGTTCAGCTTAATGGAATTTTATCAAAGTAGCTGATTCCAAATCTTGGTCTCTTTACTGTATAGTAAGTCTAGGAATATAATATGAAAGTAGCAGCTGAACCAGTTGCTGTATTAGAATAAGCCCGTGATCCTTCCAGAATTCAAATGTTTCCACTGTTTTGGAAGCAAGGTACTGTAACATTGTTACTCCTGGGAGTCACTCATCTTCCTGAGTAGACAGGGTTGTTTGCTTTTTTGTCCTGCAGAAAGAAAGCTTGATTAGAATTCAAGGGCTTAGCTGAAGCTTGTTGTTGAGATTTAATTTTACAGTTCTTCATATCCTGTTATTTGAAGTTAGTCATTTTTAAAGCACCTACTATGGGTCAGCCTCTTGGCTAAAAACACAGGGATGCCAAGAAAGGCAGAAAGACAGCCCTTCCTCTCAAGGAGCTCACAGTGTCATGGAGGAAATAATACATAAACAGAAGCTGAAAATTGAGGGGGAGGGTGGGGAGGATACCCTACCTAAGAGAAGATTGAAGTTCTGAAGCCCGGTGATGCCCTGGGGCCCCTCCTTAACTGGGGGAGGATATGGGAAGAGGTCTCCTATTTCTATCCTCTACTCCCTGCAGTTACAGGGGGCCCCTCCAAGGGTTGGAGATACTTAAGGAGGCTTGAGTGTCAGAGTTAATTCCATCTTTCAGGAAGATGAGTTTCTGGAGGCAATGATGAAGTCCAGGACAACGTTCAGGTGGCAAATGATGAGGTAGCTGCCCAATTCCAAACCAGTTTAATTGTTTTGATTGTCTGCTCTGTAATAGAGAAGAAATTCCATGGATATAGAGTAGAAAAATTAACTTGAGCCCAGTGTGTCTGGAAAGATAGAATTTGGAAAGAGAAATCTGTTGCATTTGTTTTTCATGTATACATGCAGCTGAATTGTTAAAATGCAAAGAAGGTATGTACTGAGAAGAGATGTACTAGGACTTTTCTTGAAATGATCAGTCAGACTTTATTTATAATTATCTGCTCAGTATTGATAGACCTTCAACTCATATTTATTTGGCAAAATGTCCACCTGAGCTATGGAGAGCTTCAACCAGCAAGACAGTTTCTTGTGAAGGAAAAGCTACCTTCACAAGGTGTATAAATGTAGTGAATGAATGAAAAAAGCATTTATTATTTTAATTATTTTAAGTCATGACTTAAAATAATATGAGTTCTGGATTCTTAACATAAATCCTTGGTAATATCTTTTAAAAATGTTTCTTATCCTCAGAATAATTTCCAGACACAGAAATCACAGATGTTATAGCTGGAAGAGACCTTAGAAATCACGTAGTCTAACACTCTTGTTTTATAGATGAGAAAACTGAGTTCCACATAGGTTGTGATTTATCTAAACTCACACAGCAAGTTAGTGGCAGAGCTAGAATTGAGTTTTTACTCTCATTCTGTGATTATTCATGTGCTTCTGTAGTTGTGGTCATTTCCAAGGCTTTCATCTGTTGTTTTTTAATTGCCTATTTTACACATGAGCTACTTGCTCAAATATTTACCACAAGCCAAAGCAGCCCTTATTTTTCAAATCCAGGTAGTAAATATTGGAGCACATATACAAAGTAGCCAAGTCTACCTCTGCTGTGGTAATATCGTTGGGATCTTTGAGCCAACTTGCTTTAAACTGATTGTTCAGTCATCCCAGTCTTTGTGACCTCATTTTTGGGGTGTTCTTGGCGAAGATAGTGGGGTAGCTTGCTATTTCCTTTTTCAGCTTCTTTTACAGGTGAGGAAACTGAGGCAAATGGAGTTAAGTGACTTGCCCAGGGTCACACAGCTAGCAAGTGTCTGAGGCCAGATTTGAACTCAGGTACCCTTAACTCCAGGCCCAGGCTCTATCCACTGTACCACCTAACTGCTTTTACACTACTAAGCTCTTTAAAAAATACCTGCCCTAATGTCTGAATTATAGTTGGTCAAAATTAATTAGTCTGAAATGGGGCAGGCTTTTAAATGTGGTGGTCACAGGTCTAATCATATCAGAAACTGGTGATAGAGAGAGAATTGTTACGTTTTCCAGCTCCCTTAAACGATTATAGATTTAGCTCTAAAAAGGATCTTAAAAACCATCTAGTCCCACCCCCCTTCCAGTTTCGGAGAGTAACTTAGATAGCCACTGGCAGGCCTGGAATTTGATCCGAATATATTCACACTGAAGTCCTGAGTAAGTTTTTTAGGATATTCCACAGTAGCTGTGTGGTACAGTGGATAGAGAACTGAACTCGGAGTCAAGATCTTTGTTCAGATGTTCCCTGAGATACTCAGTAGCTGTGGGAACCTGGGCAAGTCACTTACCTTGACTCAGTGACCCAAGCCACTGACTCTGTGCCTCAGTTTCCTCTTCTGTAAAATGAGGTTCATGATAGCACCTACCTCACAGGGTTGTTATAAGACTCAGATGAGTTAACATGTAAAGTAGTTTGCAAATCTTGAAGAACTACATAAATGCTAACTATTGTCACTTTTCCTGAATTGCTGAAAGGGTGCATTTCCCTTTGAGAAATCCTCCTATTTCCAAAGGATGTAACGAGTTGTATTTTCACATTGGTATTCAGAGTGTCATAGGGATTGTTAATGCATGTGTTAAGTGCCATGGAAAAAGAATAACTCAGTATGTTGACTTGGCCTATAACCTCCATTTCCCTGCTGTTTCATCAGCTCACTGAGAAAAGTGCAGTACATGTTTACAAAGCATTTCCATATTATTTTTAAAAAGATTCTCTTTTCATTCTTCTTAAGGAATCTGTGTATTCACAACAGTTTTCAGACTGCATTTTTTTTTAAAGTATTCATTTCCCTACCCCCAAGGGTAAAATATTGGCTTCTGGGAGAAGTGCTTGCTTCATACTGATCAACTGAAATCTAATTAACAGGAACAGAAACAAACATGGGATTTTAAAATTTTAAAATTTAGGTTCAGAGGTGTGGAGGATAAATGACTTCATTTGGCAAATAAAATAACAGTAAAAATAAATTTCTCTTACTGCTTACAGAAAATATCTATGGAAACTTTCCTTTCATTTTGAATTTGCCAGATGCTTTATACTTTGAAAGGAGAGAGTTCATTACAGGAGGGAAATATCTGGAGATTGAGACTATTTGGAGATTGGTCCTAATGCTGAGCAAGCCTGATTTATCCCCCTTTAGACTAGATCCAGTGGGAGTCCTAACAGGAAGCGTTGCATATGTGGAAGAGGTCACTAGATCTGGAAGGAGAGATGTTAAATTGGTCCAATTTTGCAGGCAGATGTTTCTTGTTAAGAAACTTACAAATGTAGTTGAATTACAGAAAGACAATTTCAGAGATCATTTATTCCAGGGGTGGGGAACCTGGGGCCTCGAGGCCGCGTGTGGCTCCCTAGGTCCTCGGGCTCGGCCCTTTGACTGAATCCAAACTTGGCAGAACAAATCCCCAAGGATTTGTTCTATAAAACTCGGACTCGGTCCAAAGGCCGCACCCGAGGATCTAGAAGGCCACACTCGGCCTCGAGGCCCCAGGTTCCCCACTTATGATATAGTCCAACCTCCCCATTTAAGACAGATCCCATTCCAGCTGAATAGCATCAACTTCTCTGCCACTAGCTCCCCTTTATATGTTATCTTTCACTAGAATATAAACTCTTTGAGGGTAGGGATTATTTTACTTGCTTATATATGTATACCTGGTGTTTTAGCACAGTTCCTGGAACATAATAAGTACTTAACAAATTCTTTGTCTGTCTCTCATCTGGCTCTGGCTCTGTCTTTGTCTCTCTCTCCTCTCTATGTCACTATCACCTATTTCTTTATTTTTCTCTATCTCTCCATCTGTCTACCTACCTATCTATAATCTGTCTTTATCTGTATCTGTCATTTATCTAGCATCTGCCTCTCATCTATCTACCTACCTATCTCCCATCTATTTATCTT